ATCTAATTTTCAAAGTTTTATATTTGCACGTAAATAACTCTATCGCAACTTATTTTAAAATTTCCAAATTTCAACCTCAATAAATATTGGTTTTAACTTATTTGATCAAAGTTCATGCCAAAAAATCTTACTAAAAAATCTTTTGGATTAGAATTAATGCATATTTAATTATTAGAATGCGTCCTGAAGGATAATTTTCAACCTTGTTATTCACCTTATTGGTTCGAAGCATATCGATTCATGCAAATCGATCGACATTATCGGTTATTACCCTTAAAAAACCTAGTTTTTTCCAAAAAAGAGGAAAAAGAGGATTTATATTCAAAAAGAGGCGGAATAGAGGAAAAAGAGGCGGAGTGGGAAGCCAGTTTATATTTCGAAAATGCAACCTTAAAATACATTAAAGGAAAAATGATACTCCTGATCATCAAAAAATATTTTTCATGCTAGAAAGACTTGTAATAACGAAAACTTTGCATCATATTAGTGCTATTTCACATAACCTAAAAAACGCCAGTCATGAAAATAAAAACAGCATTTGACTAGGTATACAACCGAGTTAAATGAAATATACAAATTGATGCAGAGAATGAGATTGCATAACAACATGGAAAGAACTTCATATTTATCTATAGGATTTCCCAACTCAATGAAGGCAAACTAAATCATCCCAATTAATCAAGATCAGAACAAGTTCTTCTGTCAGTTAATAAAAGTCCTGTAATACTGAACTGATGTTCTATTCCAATCCTAGTAGTAGCATTAGAAGAATCATTTTTTCATAGATTATCTTAGCATTTTCTAGTAGATTGTTCACGAATTATGAATGTTATAAATGAGAAAGCTAGTAGGCAAAATCTTGAAATTGTTAAGTCATCTCATGTTTCAAGATGACCAATGAGGAATATGAATATTACATAGTACCCAGTCCACCAACTGTTATCCGGCCTAATAACTAGGCAAAATATGAAGTGGAAGGGTCAGGCCAAGTTAAAATTCCAAAACTCTGCCTGACTTGCTCGCCTACCAGATTGGCAGCTCTGTTTCCAATGAATTGTTGAAATCTAATAGCAATGAATTTTGGCATGTTGACTAAATATTATTGCCCACTGTTATTCAACTTCAAAAATTAATACTGTTAAAATCTTTTCACCATTTCTCTTATATGTAAGCGCTTCCGAGAGTCATAATAAAAGAGCATTAACAAAAACAAAAAGAAACTATTTCTTTTATTAACTTCGTCAGAACAAAAACAAAGTTATAACAAAGGAAAATAAGTATAAAAATCTTTTGAATGCACTATCGTCTTTCTAATAATTAATTGTTTCACTTTAGCACAATTAAGCCGTGTTGCATTTCTTGTAAAGTTTTCTGTTACAATGGTTAATTCATCATAATCGACTTTTAATTTGGTTAGACGAGGTAGATACGTTTTTGTTTGATTGAGAAATTGTTCGACATAATCAATATGACTATTAAAGAGAGAAAGCGAAACAAGGTAAGGGTATTCAATGATTGAATGCAATTGATTATCATTCGAATTCAATTTGTGTGATTTCTGCAACTCTGATCGCAAATTAAAAACACACATTATTTTAAGCAAAGGAAAAAAGCGAGCAATTCGCATGAAAAATTCATGTTTAAATGGAAGTATATCATGTACCGTCAATTTTATGACATGACTAAAAACCATTGATGGAAATGTGTTGCCAATATATTCAAGATAATCAAACGCAAACGGTAATGAAAAAGCATGGCATATAACACCATCACTTATTCGGTTTAGAAAACAGCATACTTGTTGAAATCCTATGTTAGTAAAAGTTCGTTGAATATCATCGTTCGATAAATGATCAACTATATGATTTAGTTTAGTTTCGGTACTAATATAAAAAGTAAATTTATGAAGTCGTGGCATATGAACAAAAATTTTCTCATTAATTTCAGTACCATCGACAAATGAAGTTCGTTTCTGATTAATAATATTCAAACTTAATTCTTCAAGATTTGACATACGATGAAGAAGAGGTAAAACATGAGTATCATATTCATTAGTTAAACATCGACACTTTAACGAGAAATATTTCATATTAGGGAGATCATTCTAAAAAATACAATAACATAGCTCGAAATATTTTCACTCGAAAAAATCAATCTAATTATATATAAACTTACGACATTGTTAACAACTGATGAATAATGCTCTGTATCATTAATATTAACACTCAGCATAGTCAAATGTTTGAAACGTCCATCAAGTAAAGCAAAACAATCTTCAAAACAATTCACAGGAAGACATAATTTGTAAAGATTTGAAGAGAAACAAGTAACCAAAGACACATTACGAATTAAGAAAATTGGAGCGAATCCAATAACGGATAAGTGTTTAAGATTTTCAAAGAATTTCAAAGTATATTCGTACACATATTTTGCATTTTTATTCATTAATAATATGTTACTATCGTTGTTATATACAAGAATGNAAAAAATTCAATAAAACGGTCATAATTCGGAAAGATAGACCTAGCAGCCCTTGTTCTTTTGGGCTTCTTCTAGACTCACTAACGCCTACATGATGCGCATAGTCTTGACTCAAAAGCGATTTTACACTTACATATGTTACCTCGTAAGTGAAAAAAGATTCAATAATACTATTAGATTTTTATTTACTGAATGTTTTTGAAATCTATGACAATCGAGAAACTTGACATTTGACTAAGAAGACTATACAATTCCTTCAAAATAACTTTTAATGAATTGTTTCTATACGAATTTGTGGATCACAATAGATATATTTTTACATATTTAGATTTACGCCGTTTGATGAAATTATGTTCTATATCAAATCGTGAAGCTGTTTTTCTATTTATTGATACACAAATTATCGATACATTTTTTCTTGAAGATATTAATGCATTATTACATACTGGTGAAGTACCAAATTTATTTCGTAATGAAGATATTCAAGAGGTTTTAATTTCTTTATATTTTGTTTTCTACACGATGTCTCATAAGTTTTGAGGCTCGATAAAATATAAACTGGGACTAATCTCTAAATAAATGTATCTTGATGAACTTTGAGTACTGATATCGATCTTTCAAATAACGTACTATTGAGCGGTATCTTCTCTTGTAATAATAAAAATATATACATTCCATCTATCCCTGATATAGCGTACATTATACTGAGCGGTTTACCGACGACTTTTATCTGGTTTGAATCATGTCGGATGAGAATAGGGTGATATTGTGTTTTGAAATCGGTCAAAAAGATATTTTATTTGATTACGAAAAAATGTCATTTAACTATGGACTATTTGTTTTTTGTCATTTTTTATTAGTTCGCCAAGTTACGTAAGAATTTGATCATTAAATAATTCATGATTAGTTCCTAATATAATCTTGACTTTTTATTTAGAGTTTATTTCGTCTTGAAATTTCCTTTGAATCTCTTTACAACTTCTTTAACTCTCTGAATTTATGGCTATTATACTACATACTATCTGTCCGCACGACCGAAAATAGGCGTTCGATTTCTCAGAATTTTAAATTGTCCTTCTGAAAGAGAAAATCTAAATAAAACATTGAGCAAAAGAATTGTTCGAACAAATCAGCGAACATTTTCAACAATTCCTTCGATTTAAACTAGAACTGCACTTGTCGACCTTTAAAATTATTACAAGAGAAGATATGATTCAATAGTACGGTATTTGAAAGATCGACATGAATACTCAAAGTTCATCTGGATACATATGATTAAGAATTAGTTCCTGTTTATATATATAAACTAATTTTATCGAGCCTCAATACTTATAAAACATTCTTGTATAATAAATAGATTCGTAATCAACTATCTTCTACAATTAATCAACAAGGTATACTTGATACAAATCTTAATATTATGCAATTTTTCTACAATCGAGTAAAATCTAACCTGCACATAGCCATTTGTATGAGTCCATATGGTGAAACATTTCGGTAGGGTAAATCGATTTTGTAAATAGTAGAAAATTTATGAAATATTATTTTCTAGAAATTATATTCGAATGTATCCAGCATTAGTTAATTGTACAACTGTGATTAATTTTTCTGAATGGCCACATGAAGCTTTGATTGATGTAGCTCATTATTTTTTGACGAAATTTAATTTTGGATTAGAACATAAAGAAATAGTAAAGAATCTTTTTGAATTTTTATCAAATTTAAGGTTATTTTTGTTTTGTTTTGTTTTAGACTCATCGTACATTAGCTGATATCTGTGCTTTTATACATCTTTCATCAAAAACTTTAGCAATTCGAATGAAAGATGAACTTCGACGAGAAATTTATATTACACCAACAAATTATCTTCAATTTGTTAGTAATTATAGCCGGTATCGAGTTAATAATCTTTTTTTGTTTGGATGTCCTAGAAAAAAAGAATTCGTTTTCTTTTCAAGTTTGTTCGAAGGAGAAAAAGCAAAAATTCAACATGAATATAATCGCCTTCAAATGGGTATTATTAAAGTAGCTGAAACTCGAGAAAAAGTTGCTGAAATATCATTAGAATTAGAAAAGAAAAAAGTTCTTGTAGCACAATTACAACGAGAATGTGAAGATTTTTTAGGAAAAATCGTTGAACAAAAAAACAGTGCTAGTGAACGAGAACGAGTAAGTCATTATCATTGATTTTCTTCACATATTTAATTAATAAAAAAAATTCAATAGCAAGTACAAGCATTTGGTGTACGTATTGGTGAAGAAGAAATTCGATGTCAAACTATAGCAGCAGCTGCACATGAAGAATTAACTGAAGTTGAACCATTATTAATTAAAGCAAATCAAGCATTAGAACAATTAACGAAACGAGATATTGGTGAAGTAAAAGCATATGTACATCCACCAAGTCAAGTAGAAAAAGTGATGAAAGCACTAATGATTTTAAGTATGTTGAATTTTTCGATAGCATGATGAACTTACTTGAACAATATTTTATAAAATGATTGTAAATGTTTGTCTTCCTAGGATACGAAATGAATTATTTCATTTTATTGATGAAAGAAAGATCAACTATATTTTTGACTTGAATTTGTTCTACTCGTTTGATATTGTCCATTGCAATGGCTAATCCGCGCTCGAACAGCTAGTATAACTGATTGTTTTGACGATCGAGCCTTTATCATACCTTGTATTAATTTCTATCATTAGAACTTTTTTAAGACGAAAATAGGCATCAAACGCTGAAGGTTAACTGGTAGGGATTTATTCATTGGCAGACTCGTTCTATATAAGCCTATTCAGATATTAAATCGATCAAACTCAGAGTTTATTAAATTTTACTATAACGAACATTACATTTAAAATCGCCTTGAACATTAATTTGTGCATATTTTATTACAAAATAGATTAAGATTGAAATAAGCCCCTATGAGTATATATTTATATTTGGTTATATCTTACATAAGTAAATAGTCTTTCGTGCTATTTTGCACTATGTATTGTTGTTAATATGCGAGTGTTCAAAAGTGAAACTCTATTTCTTAAGAAATATTAGTACCATAAATACGAGCGGAAAATATTGCTTCAGTTATTGTCAAGCTCGGTCAACATTTCCGATCCATTGTAAGTAGAAAAAAAAATAACTTCGATTAATTTGCAAATATTTGAATTTTCGATCCTAATTGATCTATTGATGCAAAATCATTTTAAATAAGTGCTGAATTGTTTTACATCAAACAGATTTCATTAAGATTATAAGCTAAACATGCGCCGAATCTGTACTCTGGTCCGGGTTCTGGAACTGTTCAACAAGTTTCGACAGTGTCGAGAACCTAGACAATTGCTCAAACGTCTCTTAAGATGTCGATCATCCTTCAGTTCTCATATCATTTATTTTACACTATGCAGATCTACCATAGTCGATCTTGAAATTCTTTCTATTGTCTTAATATTTATCTGAAAATGACTGGAGCCAAGGTGAAACCCGAACCTTTGAATTCAGTACATGTCTATTGTAAACCAATTAGAAATACATCATTAGTCAGCATAGATTCATTTTTAAAACAAGACACATTGCACAATATTTATAATTTCTTATGTTTTAGAGGGTAAAGAAGATACATGGGAAGAAGCAAAGAAAGATTTGGCTAATGTGGATTTTATCAAAACACTCATTGTTAGTTATGAATTTTAGTTTTATTTAATAAAATTTCTTTTTTCTAGAAATTTCCTAAAGATGATATAACAGATCGAACACTTCGTCGTATGCAACCATTTATTAATGATATGGAATTAGTACCTGAAAAATTAAAAAGTGTATCAAGTGCTGCTAGTGCATTATGTACTTGGATTCGTGCTATTGAATCTTATGCACGTGTTTATCGTATTGTACAACCAAAAAAAGAACGTTATCATAAAGCATTATTTGAATTAAATGAAAAACAAAATTTATTAGAACAATCAAAAAATGAATTATTTAATATTCAAACAAAAATTGAAAAATTACGTTTAGATTATGAATTAAAAATCAAAGAAAAAGATACTTTACAACGAAATGCCGATGAAACAGCTATGTTTTTAGATCGAGCAACAAAATTATTAGATGGTGTTGCTGAAAAACGAACTATATGGGATATAACATCAAATGAATTAAAAGAAAATCTTGATAATCTTCTAGGAAATAGTCTTCTTGCTTGTGCATTTCTATCATATATGGGTCCATTTTTGTCTAATTATCGAGATGAAATTATACATCAAGTAAATTTCACACAAAAAAAAATACGATTTTCATTTTTTTTTTGTTTTTTGAAATTTCGTATAATATAGATTTGGGAAAAAGAATTAATACGTAATGGAATTCATTTTAAAACTGATTTTAATTTTGCAAATTTTATGATAACACCAAGTGTTATTCGTGAATGGAATATTCAGGGTCTACCACGTGATAATTTCTCAACAGAAAATGCTATTTTAGCAACACGTACTTTATCTTATCCATTATGTAAGCTTTTTATCTATTGAATATTCATGTTTCGGAAAAAGTTCGAATGAATAAGTTTAATCATTTTGTGTTCGAGAAATCTTCTGCTGAACTTTGGCAACACATGATCTTTTTTTAGCAACTTTATGTCGGTGATGCTATGTTGAGTTCAAGAAGATGATTTAAAAGAAAAGATTTATCAATGAATTTTTTTTCAAAAATACAAACGTAAAGATCATGTATAGAATCAGTGTTTTATCTAGTATGAGGACCGAGGAAACAATGTCTCTTCAAATATTGATTGTCTTACATTCATACAACACTTTTATCATAAACGAATTTTATAGTTTGTTAAGATAAATATAATACTTTCGATAACTCGTACTTTTTTGAACACTTATTATCCTGCTTTGTTTTTTGTTCAGTTATCGATCCTCAAAGTCAAGCAACAAAATGGATAAAACAAATGGAAAAATCTAATGGATTAAAAATAATTGATTTACAAATAGGTGATTACATGAAAATAATTGAAGAATGTATTAAAATAGGTCGACCATGTTTATGTCAAAATATACATGAAGATATACCACAAACATTGAATCCCATATTAATAAAATCAATAAAGAAAAATTCTAATTTAAATTCTAATTTAATTCTTCAATTAGGTGATCGAGAAATTGATTATAATCCATCATTTCGTTTTTATTTATCTACACGTCTTTCTAATCCACGATATAAGCCAGAAATATATTCAAAAATAAATATAATTAATTTTGCTATAAAAGAACAAGGTTTAGAAGAACAATTACTAGGTAAATAAAATTTTTCAATTAAATGTTAATTTTCTAAATGTGTTTTTTTTGTTCTTCGAAAGGGATTGTTGTACGAAAAGAAAAACCTGATTTAGAAAATTCAAAAGATAATTGTATTGTTAATATTTCAAATAAACATAAAGAAAAAGAAATCTTAGAAGAAGAATTTCTTCGTCTTTTATCTGAAACAGAAGGAAGTTTATTAGAAAATGTTAAAGTATTTCAAGCATTAGATTTATCTAAACAATCACAAAAAGATATTGATGAAACATTAAAAATTAATGAAGATTTAGAAATAAAAATTGATTTAATGAGAGAAAATTATCGATTAGTTGCACAACGTGCAGCTATTCTTTTTTTTGTTTTACAAGATTTAACTTCAATTGATCCTATGTATCAATATTCACTTGATGCATATATTCAATTATTTATTTTATCTATTGAAAAAAGTCCAAGATCATTAAAATTAAATGAACGTATTGAAAAATTAAATGATTATCATACTTATGCCGTGTATAAATATGGATGTCGAGTAAATGCAAAAACAAAACGAAAAATTTTCTTGAATTTGATTTTCTTGTTTATTTAAAAAATTTTCTTAGGGTCTTTTTGAACGTCATAAACTTCTGTTTTCATTTCATATATGTACTAAACTTATGGATGCTGAAAATCGAATAAATCATGAAGAATATCAATTTTTTATACGTGCTAATACATTAACAATTGATCGTGAAACTCAATTTCCTAATCCATTTGCAACATGGTTAAATGAAATACGATGGGATCAAATGAGTGAACTTATTCGTATGACTGATTATCGATTTTTACGTGATTCATTTGATCAATTTCCTAAAGATTGGAAAGAATGGTAAATAACTATTTTAATTTGTATTCACAAGTAAATGATACTCAAATCGGTTCACTACGAGTTTTATTATTAATTAAGTGACATGACGAAAATACTAATATTTCGTCTATATTTTAAAACTAAATCTAATGTGGTATACCATTGAATTTAGCAGACTGAAAGTTATTCATAAGCAGACACTTTTGTCGTTAGTTATGTTACTAGTAAGTACTGTGTTCGAGAAAAGTAAACAAAGGATAAGTAATAGTTGAATTGCAATACTATGTGAATTCAACAATAATTTGTTGAGTCTTCAATCTTCTATAAGATTCACTCATTCAACTGTACTATTTAGCCTACTGCAACTGCACACACCGATGCTACATTCTCGGCTACTGCTCTACCTTTCGAGATATATTTCCTCTTAGAATGGTATTGATTATTTTTCTAGAACCGTTTATTTGATATTCATTTTCAATTGATTATCTACAAAGTAACCAGTCGGAAAACCTAAACTTTTGTATTTCTTAAAAATGGCTATTGAATGAGCTGTACTAGAAAAATGGTCAATTCCATTTTAACAGGAAAGATAGAACAGGATTACAGAGTGTAGTACCTGTATGTACTGTTGCAGTACAATAACTTAATAGTGAGCCGCGACGAGTTTACTACTAAAATATCTAATTATATATTTTTTTCTTGCACAATTTTATTTGATTGAGAATACAACTCTTGGAAAGCCGATTCAAGATTTTATATGCGTCCATTTTTTCTTCTTTAATATTCGTTTTCTATGGAAGGTACACATCAGAAGAAGCTGAAAAGGCACCATTACCAAGTACTATTGATTCTTTAATAACAGAATTTGGTCGTATGCTTATTATTCGTTGTTTACGTCCTGATCGTATAACACATTGTGTATTAAATTTTGTTACACATAATATTGGATCAAAATTTGTTGAACCACCTATTCTTCAATTAAATACTATTCTTGAAGAATCCAATAAACGTTCACCATTAATCTTTCTTTTATCACCAGGTGTTGATCCAGCACCAAAATTACAACAATTAGCCGAAGATAAAATGATGGCAAAATCTCGATATTATACACTTTCATTAGGACAAGGACAAGCACCAAGAGCACGAAAATTACTCGAAGCAGGCATGAAAAAAGTAGATAGAAAAAAAATTGCAATCATAAAGAAATGAATATATATATATATTTATTTATTTATTTAAAGGGTCATTGGATATTTTTAGCAAATTGTCATTTATCAATTAGCTGGTTACCTGAATTAGATAAAATTGTTGAACAATTACAAATAGCTGCTGTTCATAGTGATTTTCGTTTGTGGTTAAGTTCTTCACCAACAATAGATTTTCCGATTTCTATTTTACAAATTGGTCTAAAAATTACCAATGAACCACAAAAGGTCAATTGAAAAGTTTATACTAATATACATATAAATATATATCTTTTTATTCTATTGTTCTTCAATATCTAGGGTATTAGAGCAAATATGAAACGTTTATATGAATTAATAACACCAGAACAATTTCAACGAGTAAAACAAGATGAAAAATATCGTAAACTTTTATTTACATTAGCTTTTTTTCATTCAATTATTATTGAACGTAAAAAATTTTTACAACTCGGCTGGAATATACATTATACATTCAATGATTCAGATTTTCAAGTTTCAGAAAATTTATTAGCTATTTATTTAGATGTATATGATAAAACTCCATTTGATGCACTTAAATATCTTATTGCAACTGTTATCTATGGTGGACATTGTACTGATGAATGGGATATGAGATTATTACATGTGAGCTTTGTTTTTAGAAAAAGAATATAAATAAACAAAAAAGAAATGTTCATTTTGAATAAGATCTATAGCTAAGGATGCACTTATTCTTCGTGAATTATGGTTTCAAAGATGAAGTTTTTTTTTTTAGTATTGAGAACTCATTGTCGTATTGATCGAGTGATCTGTTTGTTTTAATACTCAAGAAATCGAATAATAGTATCAGATTGAATTCGTAAAGTTGATCATAGTTGAGATGAACAATTGATATGAATCTGTAAGTTGTCAATACTAATATACATTATTTTTTGAGTTGAAGTTTCAGGAAATGGTGCATCTACACTCAAAGACAGCATATTTCTCATAGTCAGAACTAATTAGCACTTTTTGTAAACAATTGACAGGACAATTGGTTTTCAATATCTTTGAAACTATAATCCAGGAATTGCTGTGTTCTCCTTTAAAGTTAAACAAAACTTGTCAAATAATCAGTCATCGTTTAACTCATGAAAAACAGGATATAATTGCTATAGTGGTTCAAATACATGACTTTGTAATAATTAATTTTTTTTTTCTTTGAAAGACTTACATTGATTCATATATTCGTAATGAAGTTCTCGAAATTATGTATTATAAATTATCTTCATTAGCATATTATTATATGCCTCGTGATGGTACATTTAAATTATATAAAGATTTTATTAATTCGATGCCTACAACTGATCATCCTGAAGCTTTTGGACAACATCCTAATGCTGATATTGCATCACAAATTCAAGAATCAAAAACTTTGTTCGACACATTATTAGCTGTCTTACCACAAAAATCATCAGCTACCGTAGAAAAAGAAATCGAAAATGAGGTATACATATAATTTGCATTAGAAATTATATATAAAAAAAAAACAAGAAAAGATATTTACCGAAATCATTACAAATTTTGGACAATAAAGTGAGAACAAAAACGAGAGAGAACTATTTTGTTATTAGATAGATTTTGGATATAAATATAAAATTGAAACTCGAGTTTATGCGCTGATTCTCACGAAATATTTCCAAACTTCTAATTAACATTTCGTAAAATGACTTTTTGATCACCCATTATTTATACATTCTATAATTCAGGTAGCCAAAGCAGCAAGTGAAATGCTTAAATTAATGCCACATCAAGTCGACATCGAAGCAGTAAAGAAATATATGTTAATTGATACATCACCATTATCTGTTGTTCTTTTACAAGAAGTAAAATATTTTAAAATATTCATTAATTTCATCTATAAAATGAACATTGTTGTTATAGGCTGAACGATACAATGCTCTGCTATTGAATATTACTATTGCATTAACTGATCTACTTAAGAGTATCGAAGGTTTAGTTATTATGACAGTTGAACTTGATGAACTCTTCAAATGTATTTACGAAGGACGACTTCCATATGCTTGGCAACGAGTAAAACAACTCGTCTAAATTAATATGATCTTTGTTTGTTTGTTTTTCTCAGACATATCAATCATTAAAACCTCTTCCTGCTTGGTTTCAAGATTTACGTCAACGTATAAATTTTTTCAATTCTTGGATTGAAAGTCAACGTCAACCTATCATCTATTGGATATCGGCATTTTCCTATCCAACTGCTTTTCTCACTGCTGTACTTCAACGAACAGCACGAAAAGATCAGGTTTGTATACTCTATTTTCCTTTTAGACATAATTTTTAATATTTCATATTTTCGTTATCACATAGATTGGTGTTGATCAACTTTCCTGGGAATTTGAAGTTAATAAAGCAGAAGATAAATATCTGCCTGATATAGATAATGGTGTCTATGTGACCGGGTTATTTTTAGAAGGAGCTGGTTGGGATCAAAAACAAGGAACATTATGTGAAGCAACATCTATGGAACTTGTAACATTAATGCCAACAATACATTTTCGACCTGTGGAACACAAGAAAAAGTTGACTAGAGGTAAAAAATGTCTATTTTATCATATTCTGAATAGATATAATCAAATTATTAACTAACTATTACAGGTCTTTATATTGCTCCATGCTACTATTCATCTGTTCGAGTTGGATCATTTATTGTTGCAGTCGAACTTAAAACAGGTTCTATGCCAGCAGAACATTGGATCAAACGAGCAACGGCTTTACTAATGAATCTTGACAATTAATTAACTCATGTATTTGTCAAAAATATTTGAAAGTTTCATTTAAATTTCATATAGTGACAAAAATAAATAGGTATTCATGTCAATAATGATATGTATGGGTTCTAGTTCATTACTGAAATACATACAACATTTATTATACTGTTCGTATCGATATTTCATTAAAAATAAGAATATCAATTGAACGATTAAAAATTTTTGACATATTCATTAATTTATTATACACGTTGATATACTTATTTTATGACAAATCTATTAATGATTGAGATGTTTGCATGTCTTAAATTTTTTTCAGAAATGACACAGAAAAAACAAATCAGTTATAAACGATTCAGTAGGGTATTGTAATAAATATTTCCGATCAACAAAAAATCAATTAGTTCTGAACGACAATGTGCAACTGATATATCAATACTGGTTTTCCACTTTGTTTTCATATCAATGAAAGCTCTCAAGTAATAGCATAGTTCCATACACGCTATATAACCTCACATTTAAAAGCTTAAATTAATAGAGTATTATCAAGCATTACTGGCATATAGTTTATTATAAATGAGACGAAAAAATAACTACCATATATCTTTCAAATCTTCTGGGTTTTTCATTATAAATGAAGATAAAATGCAAATAATTTTCTTTAAAATAAATTTTTTATTAAATACAGTCCTTAATTTTAAAATAAAAATATTTAAAATATTAGACTAAAATTCATTTTGTAATAGAATACATTCATCTATTTTTATATCTGAGAACATTAATGTTATTCAAATATAGATAGATCTAGAACGTGTAGAAGATAATCGCGTGTCTATTCTTCTTCGTATTTTTAAGTTTACGATGAAGGATATTTTTGTATTGAAATGAACAAAAGATTATGTAAAATTTCTTTTTTTAGACCTTTTCATATTTTCTGGTGCTTTACTTGAGTGATATTTCTCTACTATTGCAAAATGATTTCAATGTATATAGCTCAAGCAAATACAAGTCATTTAAAGCACAATAATAACCGTCATGATACATATGAAAATAAATGTTCTAACTGTAGTGATTCATTGTTGAAACATACAACTCATTTTTTTTTTTTTATTCATATTGACTTTTTCATTGGTCACACATATGAGACAACAAAACACTTTTTCTGTATTATTTATTATTCTATCCATAGAAAAATGTAGGTTTCTATTTATTCAATATAGACTACGTAATCGAAATCATTTACACTTTACATATATTGATGACGCATTGAAAGACAATTGTTATTTTTCAAATGTCATCCGAAACAAGAAAACCGAAAAAAAAGTATTATCTATGAAAATTTTTTTTTTCATCATACTGTTTTCTTTTCTAAATCGTCATCATTTTCAACATTAATAACAGCTTCTTGATATTGTCGATATTTACGAACAAGATCATTCTTATCTGATTCACTTTTAGTAAACTTCTAATTAAAACAAGTTCAAAAACTGAAATATATTTTTATTTCAGACACGCAATATGTTAAATCTTTAGTCAAGAACAAAAAAATGTCTTAAATCATTAAATAATTCATTTCATCAAAATTCAGAATTAAATAAAGAATATTTCAATTAAAGATACTTCAAACCAAACATATATATTATAAAAGAGAAATTTCATAAAAAACATATACTGAAAGAGATTAGATGAAAGTTTATATCAAGTTTGTTTTTCTTCCATTATACAACAGTCATTGTCTTTTGAAAATATGATTTATTCTTGACGATGAAAAGTAAGAGATGCTGGAGAAAATATATGAGTATTAGGATTAGCTGTTAATGCAGCTTTTGCTTCAGTTAATAGAGCTGAACCAAATGGACCGATGGCGTTAGTCGCATCTCCCGATGGTCGATACGCAGCAGCAGCAGCAGCAGCAAGTAAATGTGGTTGTCGTTGAATCCAACGTTGTAATGTGGCACCAGCAAATAACTCAAGACCAAGACATGCTTGTCGTTTCCATTTAGTCCTAAGAATTGTTAAATCAATAATTGAAAAAAAAAACAAACATTAGAATCTAAATGAATAGGCAAATATTTACCTTCGATTTTGATACCATGTTTTTACTTGTGTATCAGAAAGATGAAGACGATTTGCGAGTTCTAATCGTTCTTGTACACTTAAATATTTTTGTCGTTCAAAACTTTTTTCTAATGTATTTAATTGACCATCAGTAAATGCTGTACGTGGTTTGCGTTGTTTCTTATTTTTTCGTAAATTAATTGCTGCCAAACATGAACTTGATGCACATAAATCATCATCTAAATATAAGAATCAAAAACAATAATAATATAATTCAAGTATAATAATTATTGAAATCGATCATATTTTCAAAGCAATATGCTTTCAATAAAAATCAAATATAAATTGATAAATCTATTTTTTTTCTACAAATTGGTTGTCATCTTTATTAAGTTCTAATGAATGATCAAAAATTCAAGGTTGATATTTTTATGTGAGAATACAGAGACATATCTTGAGTTCCAAAAAAAGAGAGTCCTGTGTGAACAGTTTTCAAAAACAGAATGGTTGATATATGGATGAATTGTAGAAAGTGGGAATGTCTTGTCGCATGTGCTCACTATAAGCTATGTTTCTTTGTGCATATTTGTTCTATAAGGAATTTCTTCGTCGATAAAAAATAAATTATACACTTAGACTTTATGTTTACGAACTTTGGTAATGTATAAGATAAATGATTGAATTCAAAATGATTTTTATCTGGTTTCAGATCTCAATTAGGATAGTGTAAATCAATTTTATTTATCAAATGTATGTATCTCAACTTACCACTATAATGATTAACACTATTGCTATCATCATTAGAAGATGACTCTTCACCAGTACCACCATCTCCTAATACATTAAGTATTTGTGAACTTTTTGATTCGCCATTATTATTATCTGCATCATCATCATCATCATCATCATCATTATCCTTTTCTTCATTGTTATATGATCGAAATTTTTTATTTGATAAATTACCTTCAATACTATCGTTTTCTTCTCTATTATTATTTTCAGGTATGATTGATCGTTTACGTTTACGATCACTAATTTCATTGGAATAATTTGTATTTTTATTTACTGGCATTACCATATGTAAGATATCATCGACAAAAAACGAACGACGCTGTTTTACCATTGTCATTTTCTTTTTCTTATCGAAAGTGAGTCTGGTCAATCAAAAAGAATAATTTTGAGAATGGTGAATGCAATATAACGATTTCTTTGTCTCACTCTCTCACTTCTACTGTTGTTCTCTTTTCTTTTTTTTTTTGTATTTTATAGTGTGACAAGTGGGATTTCTTTCATTTGCAGCGACATATAGAGAATAACGAAGAAAAGAAGAGAGCAGATAATTGACATTTTACACACACATTCTCTCTCGCATTTTTTTCCTTCAACAAATGCTTACATTCACTTGATTGGTGTAAAAAAAAGAATAGAAATAACCGAAAATGATTGGCAGTTTAGATTTCATATAGAAAGAAAAAACGGATCAATTTGAATATGAAAAATAATATTAAACTAAAAAAAAAAGATTCTTTGAAAAATTATATATCCAATTTCCGGCTTTATTTTAACATTTGATTGTGTAATAACAAAAAATGTGTATGTCTATATCATGATAAATAAAGATTGATCGATCAGTTAATCAATAGTTGTTCTTCTTTGCACACTCTTTTCTTTTTTATTCTCTTCATTACATATGTTTATGATATGCAAATCAGAAGAATCAACGTTGTATCTTTCTTTTCTTTTTCTTTCTGTTCAAATGAAAATAATTTTCTCATCATTACTATCATCATCATTATCATGTTCTTTGCATATTGTTAATACGTATCGGATTGACACTTTGAAGGTGGTAGTTATTCGATTAATAATAATCGATCGATAGACATGCTCGTGCTTGTACAACTGCTCAATGGATGATGACGATCATAAGATAGACATATATGAGGTTTCTTTTTCTCTTTGATTATATTGATTACACTAATAAATATATTGACATTCATTAAGCAGGTGAATTCAATCAAGGACATAAGTCACCTGTATGTTTTGTTCTTTTTAATGTTTATTGATTGTCGTCAATATTCGTAGTTAATGTCACACATTGATTGTTATCGTTTGTTCATTGTACGGTCGAATGAACGAACATAAGGTGTCATTTTATGTATCACTTTTCTCTTTTTTGTGTTTTTTTTTTCTCTCAATCCAACTAACAAACAAATTAAGCCGCATACAAAGAAAGCCTTGGGCTCGATTGAATTAAATAAAGAGGATTGAAGTGTTGTAAATATAAGATCAAATATATACATATATACTATCAAATGTGTGACAACTATATTAGGTAATATAGATCGAAAGAGCGTGAAAGCAAAAGTAGTAGAATACGAAAACAAGATTAACTGTAAAAATTTTATTAATCATCAAAGAAGAAAGCTCGTTTTTTTATGATAATTAAAATCGATGTGTCTTTTCTTTAGCTTTCTGAATGTATCCACTTGAATGACAAATAAATTTTTCTATTTATTTTTAATTTGATTCATTTCTACCAATGTTTATTTCTCTCTTTCGTTTCTATATGAATGAAGACAGACAAAATCTGTTTTTTCTAAAAGCGTTGATTCTTTCTATAACGTGATTGACAATGAAAAATTATAAAGCAATTTTTAGAATTTCTTTTTTTTTTGTCCTTTTCTTTTTTTTTTAATTATCAAATCCAATGATCCATGCATTGCAAAACAATGATGTTCATTGCACTTATTTTTTTTCGTTTGAATAGAAACAATCAAACATGTTGGACATTTATTGAAATAAAGTTGATTTATATATATTATAAAAAAAAAATGCAGATAGAACAGACAGACAAATTCCTGTTTGATAATATCAAACGGTTTAATCATAACAGGAAATGAGCCACATCAAGTAGCTCGTACTATCTTGAACTCGTTTACATAGATTCAATCGATCATCGTTATCGAATT